TGGAAACCTCCCCCTATTTCCAATCTTACTATCCACCCCTTAAACTACTTGAGCTATGAAGCGCTGCTGTGGCTAACTGATCTAGGCGCTTGACTTTCAGTCACGCAACACCTACTGAGGTTTGAGTGTGGCCGGGTAGCATCACCACCAGCCCTTGCCTACTGCAAGAAATTTCAAGGGGTTGTCGAGCAGCATTCTTCTTCATTCAAACTAGACGACATGTCAACCTGGGACCAAGCACTTCGGTCCAATCAATCGACAGGAAAATCTAAAATTCAATTAAATTTAAGATGATCCGTTGCACAAGAGGTGGCTCTCGTGGCCCAAGTGGTCTAGTGGATAACGCTTTGGCGCTTGAAACTATGGGCACTGGGTTTGAGCCCCGGTGGGAACATCATGACTCACTGAGAAATGCAGGCATATCAAGCTGACGAGTCCTATATAGGACGAAATGCATATCCTGGACTCCACTTCTAGTCGGTATCCACCAATTAAAACTAGTCGAAGGTTTGAGAGCGTGTCGGCAAAGAATCGAACCCTGACTTTTGGCATGACTACAACAAGCATTCTACCATCGACAAACACACGCACACAGACACGCACACACTCACGCCAAATGCAATAAATAAATACTAAACATCAATCGAAAGCTAAGCACATTTCCATAAAAATCACTCCATGACATAACCAACCGTTGAAATGTCTTAATATACTGTGCTAGGGGATCCACAACCGGAAGGCACAACCTAACCTATTAAGCATCTCAGTTTTTCATATCCGTAGATATATATATATATATATATATATATATATATATATATATATATATATATATATAGACAAGAAACGTATATAAACAATCTTAAAAGTATATCAGATTCTCGCTTAAAGTATTCACAAAATTCGTAAACAATTGTCATTAACTTGTGTCATTACTGTCAGTTATAAATAAAGGGGACTGTAAGACTGACACAATGCTAGCAACCTGTTTCCTGTTGATGAAATGACACGGAAAACAGAATAACATACCATCAAGACATATTGAACGTGAATGCCTTGTAATTTCAGGCATGATTTTGATATTCGCTCATAATATTTTATGTCACATAATAGAGAGAGAAAATGTGATACTCTTCCTTAAGTGGGTTACGTGTAGCCACCAGTATATTTTGACTATCTCGGTGCCTATTTATCTCATTACTTATTGCTGTGGAGCTACATAAACACATAGGCCGTCGTATACACAACGTCAAGTTCGTAAATGTATTTTAGAACACTTTCCAGCTTGTGTCTAGCTAGCCAGAGGAGAAAAGAAGTATACCGAGATTGTTATTTATTTATTTATTTAAACGCAGAAAAACTTGGTACAATGAGGCACTAAGAAGATGCGCCACACTTATATGAGGGCTGAAATACTGCCCAGACGCCCAAACCGAAGCAAGTGGTTTTCTTAAGGGACCACCCCGAGCCTTTGACTTGGAGTCTAATCCGTAAGGCAGCAGAGCAGCGTCAGGAACTACGTTCCCACGGTTGCCGGTGACCAATATAGGTTCATACACCATTTGATCTGATTGGATTCTGGAGCCCATGTACCCCATGGTAACTGCTTTTAGTCTAACCGCTATCCTAACAAATTTCCTGACATGGTGGGACCTGCAGGAACATGAGTCTCAGCCAGTTTAGCTTGTTGGGTAACTGCGGTATTCAAGCCAGACCACCACAAGGTAGCAGTTGCCGGCCGGATACCAAGATAGTTCTAGCTCATACACCTCGTCAACACTGGACAACAGGCAACCGCCCACCTCTACATGATTTCTTTACAGTGATATCTATTATTTCCCAATGTTTCATTCAATAAAAACCTTAAATATGCCATTTAAACCTCACCTCTGAGTTCAAAAGCTCTACATACACTTACTCACTCACTCATTCACTCACTCACTTACTTTACCATGGTCAAAGTAATTACGTAATCCCAACTTTCATTTTTTCAGTCTTCATTTACTTACTCCAATCTAGATAAAACTGTCCATTACGTAATACACTTCCTACAACACAGTTGCTAAGATATTGAACTGGTTTTGCGGTGTTATAAACTGCCGGGTTTGATTACTAGATGAAATCGGTTAGAGAGAATCATTGGAAAAGTAACAGGAAGTAGTGGACAGTTGCTTCACTCTAGTTTAGGAATCTTCAGCAGTACGCAACCGCCAGGGTTGCAACGCAGGCCCTTCGCGGGAGAGAGAGGAGAGCTTGTAGACCGTTCAGCCGGTGGTCTAATGATCTAATGATGTCAACCCCGTGAGCAAACACCTGTAATCTATCTGATGCTCACTGATAGTGATTGGCTTTGTACAGGACAATTACCAGGAGTTCTAGTAAAAAAATTGATGACCAGCGCGGTACACTCAGTTAGTTAAAAGATCAATTACTCGACTATGAAGTTGGCTGGCGACTGCGATACATACATATATGGCGAATTGGCAGTAAGTAATTGGCATTCATGGGCAGTTGGATCGGGTCCCAATGGCTGAATGGTGTGCAGGGGGTCATGGGTACAAATAATAATGAAGAGAGCCGAACTCGGACTGATGTATCGGTTATCAAACTTGAAATTAATTAAATCCCTACACAACAGGACTTCAGAGTTTCTTTCGTTGTCATATATTATATATAGCGCGACCATTTCGCAATGTCTTCTTCGATGAGTTACTGCCTCATCTTCAACCTGCTGTACCCTACTGGTTACGGCTTCTCACTAGAATCCCAGGTTAACTGCCTGAATAGGTCGCGCTATGTCGTGAATTGGCAGACGCTAGAACTCAAGAACTATTGAATCGGGTCCCAATGGCTCAATCGTCTATGAGCTCACTGGCCTTGTAACGAGAAGGTCTTGGGTTCGAACCCCAATGGGGTGGGTGCATCCTACTGAAGAGTCCCAAAATAGGCTGACGAAACAGCTGGCTGTCCAGTACTCCCAGTTGGTTTTCCAATGGTTCTCTAACTGATGTCAACTCATGATGATGAAATCCTCCATGCGCAATCAGATATCATAAAAGTCAAGAATGTAGTAAGTTGTTAAGTTGAGTGAGCAATCCCTTCTTTCTCATAAAATTAATACACACTTAAGGGTAAGCTAAATCTCGACTATATATGCATAATCACTAAGACATGCGCACAAATTCAACATATCTGGACAGTCAATCTATCAGTGTTATACGTGTTAAAAATAAATACTTACTTCAAATCAAGTGAATGTGTATTTATCATGTATGCAAAAGAAAAATAAATTAGAAAAGATTTTAAGTCTGTAATCTTCGGTGTTATATTTTTAAACGAGTGTCCAGTAAGAGTAAGAATCAAGGTAACTCTAAAGTGTTGACACTAAGAATAAATATGCTTGAATTCTGCTACGCGTATAATCATTCCCATACACATATATACATATACATAATATGAACAAAGGCTTTGCGTAGGCGGATACAGTTAGCCTGTAGATGATCTGACATTCAAGAAACAGTCACAAACAGATGCAAGGTTAACTTTCTGTGAGAAACAACCAATCAGAGGACTGTGTTTGTCTGCCTACAATAATCTATAATAATGTACATGAAAACCTATAAATATGTGTTGATTTCCTTAATAAACGATCTGTTGCCTGACCCTTGTCTTCTGTCGTCACATTTGGTGTGGCTGCCTACCGACAAGTGGAAAGCCTACGCCCTGCAGTTTTTGATGGAGACATATGGATCTTCGGGCAGGACTTCGAGGCTTCTTCGCAGTTGAGTGGCGTTCAAGATCTGTCAGCGATGAGGCTGTTACGTGGGATACTGCTGGGAGGTCGGGAAAAAGCAGCATATGAAAGGGTGAGGCGAAATACCAACGAATGTGCAACAGGGTAAGGCAAGCAGTTTTCAAAGTGGGAAGGACCATATATGGTCACGTTGAGATAGGGTGACGCAGACACAATCGCAGTGATAAACAAGGAGAAACAGGTGAATATCAGCGAGCACCGAGATTCCAGACACCAAGACAAACGAACAAAGCCTCTAGAACCAAGAAAACCGAGCCGACTTCAGTCGCAAGTCTTTGAAGGGGGAACGAGTGTGGTGAGAGCTGATGGCTAGCCAAATTGGTAGACAGTAATTTACGTCAATGTTTATGTCCCCAATATTGGTCGTGAGAAAAATATAAACAAAGACTGATTTAACAACCAACCAGAGCAGGCTTTGTTTGCGTAGGCGGATATAGTTAGCATATAGAAGATGATATGAAATTCAAAAAACAGCCACAAAGAGATAAAAGATTAACTTTCTGTGAGAAAAAACCAATCAGAAGGCTGTGTTTGTCTGCTAACAATAATCTATAATAATAATGTACATGAAAATCTACAAATATGTGTTGATTTCGTAAATGAAAGATTTGTTGCCTGACCCTTGTCTTCTGTTGTTACAATGGTAGCTGAAGCTGTCAGATTCCACCTGAAGACGCCAAAACTTATCTGTTTGTACAACCTCATTCCTTTACCTAGGTCAGTATTCATTGATTGCAAACAATCTGACAATTTCCATCTGCATATCATACACTAGCTCGTCGAGTGGGAGTCGAATGGAAAGGCGACGAGTTCAGCATAGGTTCGAGAGTGACATTAGAGGAGAGCTTGCAGATAGTCAATCACGGCAGCCATCTAGGAGAGTCAGTAAATAACATTGATGCAGTGGAAATGTGCTGCTGTAGCTCTCTGCGCTCTACGCCCGGAATCCAACCGAAGAAGAATAAACAACATCAGCAGAACCCCCCCCCTCCGCGCTCAATAAGGCGCACAGACAGTCTGTATCATAACAAAACACGAGTCGACTGCTCCATTAGCCTCAAGGTAACAGAGAAAACCATCAAAAAAGATACTTGATACTTGAACCAACATAACTAGTTAGTGGTACAAGGGTGATGAAATATTTTGTTAATTGAATGGTAAAAACAACCTGTCAAATATTACTTACCGAATACAGGAGTGTGTATAGTCTTGTAACGTTTCTCTTCATAATCCAACAATTTCACTGAACCTGAATCCAATATGCTTAAATAACGTGCTGTAGTGCGATAAAATGATTGATGCGATGCTGTGATGTACTTATGACGTAATAACAGGGCTTTAATTAAAGCCTCTGATGCGAAATGCAGATCATCCACGGGTACCTTTTTAAGAAATGAATGTTTGTAAGGAAAGAAATCATGTTTATATAATGGAAATATAGTGCGCGTAATATGCAAAAAGATGTGACTAAAGATAACTGGAGTGTTTCTAGGCTACTTTGATTGGACACTAGGCAGCACCTAATGACATGTGCCAAATCCTTGCAACGTCGAGTTGCAGAATGAATTCTATCAGTCAAGTTTGAAATATGGATACCAATGCTGCGTGGTTGGATATGACGGCACACTCTGAATTGTTGTTACTGATAGCTGCTACCTTTACGTGGTGGTCGGGCTTGCAGATCGCAATGAGCCAACAAGCTACACTGGCTGGAACCAATGTTCCTGCAGGTCCTACCATGCCAGGAAGGTTGTTAAGATAGCAATTAGGCTAAAAGCAGTTACCAGAATTGTGTAAGAATCTTTCTTATAATATGCTGTGGGTGTGAGGGCGAAGTCGTACTGCCACTGAGGAACAGGGGTGTAACAGCAGTGAGGTGTTTCTCTCAGATGACCAGCATGCCAACCAGCTAGGCTGTCTCTCCACTCCGGAGAGAGGGGGTTGGAAAAGGTCGGCCCCAAAAATTGTACATCCCTACTTACCCCAACTACGGGGTGGTCCGTAACCGGCGGTAAGTTTACTAATACGGAACCAATCCAAGAAACCAGTTCATACAGGCCATGTGACCGGCTGGACTCAAGCAGTTGTCCCCCGGACTCTGTGGTCACGCAACACTAACCCTCTTTCTGTTTCAAATACTTGAAGAATCAATCAACTTACACGGTGTGGGCAGCCGGGAAGTAACAACCGCCCACACACTTCAAAAAGCACACGAAGTCTCCCTGACCGACAGACAGACTAGATGGTTAGAGGTAATCAGTAGGAAGTCTTAAACCAGACGCGTTATACTTACTAGTGTTCAATCAAAGTATCCAATACGGTACAGTATAGTCTTACTGGAGGTCAATCGGGTGCCCGAATACCTCAGTGGTAACGTCTCTCTGACTGCAACACCGTGTGACACGAGATCGAGCCTTAGAAGCGACATATGTTCCCAACAAGATTGTTGATACGCCCTGCTGACTAGTGAGCGCAAACAAGCACAAAAGCCAGGTGAAGTCACGGCTTTCCACCGATTGCCGCCCCAAAACATCTCACAACAATGCTGCTTAGTTATTAGAGCATATATATATATACGATCCGAAATGAACTAGAATTAGGAAATTAAATTATCCCCATATATCTGAATAGTTTAGAAACATGGTGAATGCTGTTCATCAAACACATGTGCATTACTCAGTAGTCCCAAAGTTTTACTCTGTGTTAGTACACATCCTGTTCATGTAGAAATTACAACAGTATAAAGCCACGTAGTTCAGGTCCAATTTGAGGCTGACGTGCACACATAGACCTCGCCCAAATGGCAGTTAGACGGGAGGTTGTGGTTGAGGGTGAGACTAGCAACTCCACAGCTACTGAAACTTTAAAGCGTAAAAGCTTGAAACCCTATACATATATATATATATATATATAGGGTTATCAATCTTATTATCCCTTCTACCTTGTACTTTTATGTTTATAGCAGTTTCATTAAGACCCTCACCCCTCCCTTCCCCTAACTAACTTTTATGTATATTTTTTAAAAACTACGGCAAATTGAACTGATGCACTTTAGTGCAAAGTTCTACGCTAACATAATTTAACTTTGTTCAGTCCAATTTTTCATAAAAGTTTAGTGTCTAAAGGTACACACGCGCACACACATTTGTATAAACATTGAAACCTGTAAGCTACAATTTGTGATCGGATACGACTGGCCCTATTCAGGCAGTAACCTAGGGTTCTAGTGAGAAGCCGTGACCAGTAGGTTACAGAAAGTCGAAGGTGAGGGCAGTTACTACTCATCGTAGAAGACATTGAGAAGTGGTCGCGGTACATCATGAATTGGGTCGAAGAATTTATCTATTTATTTTTATTTTTGATTACAGCTTGATTCCATACCGTATCTTTGGTACAAGTATGGAATTTTCAGCATGGATATCGGTAGCCCAAATTTTGCAGGCCCACCCATAGGTATCAGGTGTGCGTCGGCAGGGGATCGAACCTCGGACCATTTGCATGGTCGGCGAGAGTCCTAACCACTGTTCCACCGACGCACAATTCATGGGCTGATCACTGAGTCAGGTCCCATTAATAATGGCCTAATGGTCAACGAGCTGGCTCACCTTGTAACCAGAAGGTTCTGGGTTCGACCCCTGTTAACCGATGTCAACTCATGATGAAATCCTGTATCCATACAATTTGTGGGTTATACAAAAACAGCACATTGGAAGATATTTTTGACCCTCCCCCCTACGAAAAATTACAAATTTTAAGCTTATCTAAGCAATCACTAATAGTGAACACTCGTCAGTAAATGCTAAACTGGCATATACAATAATATATATATATGGGTGTACATCCCCCAAAAATAGCCTATGAGGAGAAGCAAATCCAACCCTCTCTAGGCTTCTCAAATCAGTGGGAAATTCTGTGGTCAAACAGTGAGATTAAATATCGACATTTCTTATCGGTAAACATTATTATTACTATTGTTCTTATTAGTAGTATTAGTAGTGTAGTGAGTGCTACTTATAATCAGGTATAAGTAGTGTATCAGTAAACAAATTCAGAAAAGTAACAACTGGATAAAGCAATCAAAGAAGAAAAGAGAACTGTGAGAAGAACGTTACAGACACTGTGCAGAATCCAACAAGCTATCGAATGTGGTGGTATTCAACTAATGTGCAAATGATGTGCAAATAAAGCCTTAAAGATTAGGTATACCAAATCTATGATTTTATTTAATTGAATTTTAGATCTTCCTGTCGATTGATTAGACCGAAGTGCTCAGTCTCAGGTTGACATATCGGCTTCTTGTGCAGATGCCTCGATGATGCCTGGGCATTTAATTAGAATTTCATTTGTGGATGGTGACTAGCAGTGGAATCCAGGATGTGCATTTTGTGGCCCAAGTGGTCTAGTTGATAACGCTTCGGCGTTTGAAACTATGGTCACTGGGTTCCAGTGACCACGGTGGGGACAGCATCACTCACTGGGAAATGCAGGTACATCCAGTAGCTGACGAGTCCCAAATAAGACGAAATGCGCTTTATCCTGGATTCCACTGCTAGTCACCATCCATAAATTAAATTTATGTATGTATCTACAGTGCATTTGTCTTAATGCACATGGCCTTCAAGCCTCATAAGTCTTTTCTTCTTTACGATAGTAGTAATAGTATCTTCGCAGATTCCGAGTGAAACAGAAGGCTTCAATAGCACACTTCCACTTCATCCTATTTTCCGTAGTCTTTTTTGAGTGTCTCCGTGATTTTCCATAGGCCTTGATCTCTCCCTCATTCACTCAGTCGTCTACATGTCACCATTGAATACACCCCCCTCAACCCGTCGTTTACCATTTGAGTTCCACCAGAGCAATGACCTGGCACGTGATGCCACCATGTGTGTGTGTGTGTACACCCAACCCGATCCGTGACCAAACTTGGAATAAATCAAACCCCTACAAACTAACCCTTCAAAAAATTAATTTGATGCTCGCTAATGACTGGCTGACTGGCTACAAGACGAAGTTGCCTAGATTTTTTTTAGTGAGAAGTCATAACCGGCAGTGGATTCCACCTTCTCGGGAGTGAGGACAAATACTCGCCGCCAATAACGTTGGCTGGTTACAGTCGTGCTAAAATCACGAACTGGTAGAAGTTACAATTCATGGACTGACCCCTGAGTCGGATGGATCCCAGTGGCTGAAAAGTTTATGAGTTTGCCTTGTAACCGGATGTAGGTGAAAACTATACATAGCAGAGAACCGAACGCAACGGAGACGCAAAGCTGAGACTCTATATTCCTCTAGGAATAAAGGAAATAACAATAATAATCTTAGTTGCAACCATACAATACTACTGAAATTTGATTGATTAAGTACCATGACGTGCTTTTGTACCCCAAATACAGGAAAAAGTAAGTATTTAATGAAAGGTTAATATATATTATGTTAAATTCTATAAAATACATCCATCATTTTACTCAGTTTTTTTGGGGGGGGGGGTTAACAGCACCTAGAATGGAGCATTAAACTCTTTATGCAGTAGTATACATACAGTAATTCTACTTCCAAAGCCTCAGGATGGTCGGGGGTGGGTGTCTTGCGCTGCGGGTTGGCCACCCCTCCCACCGTACACCTCTTGAAATGCTCCCATATGACCGGGCGTCTTACATAGCCTCTCCTGAGGAAGTTCTACTCACTGCCTTTACGTGGCGGAGGTGTTTTTTCACCGAAGTGGGAGGGCAAAAGCGGATGCCCGGCGCTCTTCACCGGGTTGACTGTCCATTGGATGACAGTCTAGGGGAGATGGCTAAACCCTGATTCCAAACCTCCAACGACTGGCGTATGAAGCTCACCGGAGTTCACCAGCAGACGTATTGACAAAGGGCTTATTGGATGCCCTGGATGACTGGCCCCATTCGAAAAGGCGTATGAACCGGACTCCGGTCACCGGCTGCCAATGGATAGTGGACTCCCTACTCCACTCATACTGCCTTGTAGGTCACACTTGGTTGTGTAAAGGCTAGAGCTGCACTCTCAAACAAAGGCTGAGCGATGCTGGGGACATCACTCGTACCCAATTCCCATGAAACTTCATGGTTCATGAAGCCGGCTCATCCTCCCGTAGGAGATAGCCGAAGTAAAGTAAAGTAAGTAAGTAATTCTACGCAGAAACATTATTTGTAAATATGTAAAAGCAAGAAATATACAGTGTTTCACACACTGCAAACTAACTAAAACGGTGGAGTTTCAATCGTGTACTGTGTGCTGTGTTAGAGAGAACACTCATTTAATCGATTAAAAAAAAACTTCAAACAAGCAACTCTGATAGACAGAATAGTGTATCCTACTGAAGGGATACCTTCAAAAACTTGGGTAAAACAAAAATAAGAAAGGA